GTTATGAATTAACCTTGAGAAAGAACCTGATTTGTTATGGGAAGAAGCTATGTCTGGTCTACAAACACTATCTTGCAGGGAATGGTGTGGCCTTGAGAGAGAAACAGACTGAGTGATAACTTTTATAGTGAGTAAATATGATCAATTAATACATAATAGAAGAAAGATAAAAATTTTCCGACAACAGCACCTTCCTCTCAGTGCTTTAAGTCACGTTCCCCTCTCGTCACATACTTTTCTCATCACCATATCTTTGCTTTTCTCATTAACATACTTTTACATTTTCCAAACTACACCAAACAGATTACCAAATATATGGGATGTAGTTTGGAAAATGCAACTAAAATATATAAAAGCTATGAGTTTATTAATTTAAATTATACATTTTGCAAAAAGTAAATAATTAATTCCTGAAAGATTTGAATCAAAGTGGCATATTTTCCTGAGAGAGGGAAATAATAATAATAATTTATGGCACATTTAAAACAAATATGTTTAAAAGTGAATAAAACCTAAAAGCTGCTTAATGGATTTAAATCTAGGATGATAAAAAATTAAAAAACATCCTAACTTTCAGAATTAGGACTGAAATAGCACCTGACATAAAGTTATAAATGGTTGGCTTACAGCAGAATAGTAACTAGTTCGCTGTTTATTGTGTAGAGTTAAAGTACCTGCGTATAAATAGACTGAAAAGCATCCATTTTACCGTTGACCCAGTTACAGGAGGTTCGGTAAAGATGGGCAGGCTAAGGGTTCCATGAATCTGCCTAACCAACCGCCGCCCCCCACCCCCCAATTGAGAAAAGGGCCTGACACACACATTTATGAAGGTTTGCATGCAATAATTACAACGTTTAATCATTTATGTTATGGCCATTTGTTGGTGTTTTGTTTGTCTTTTCCGTTTGTCCTATATGTTGTCTGTAGTGTCTGTGGATCCACTCTACCTATAGTATGTTGTCCATTTGTGAAATGATAGTTTAGTTATTTTTGTCTTTGTAAAATAGAAATGATTAAGGTTAAACTGTAAAATAAGGACAGTTTCTAGTTTCCGTGGCTCATTCTTCCCCCTAACCTGTTTTCAAAACAAAGCAGGAGTTAAATGTGTTAGAGTTAATGCACAGCTGTTTAATTTGGGAATAAAGGGGATTGATATAAGGTTCAAATATCACAACAAATAAAGTTTAAATGAACAGATTTTGCTTGTTTAACAATAATTGGGCATTTCTTCAAATAAACAAGGACCTGTGTCATTATTTAAATGCTAAATGCTAAAGTTTAATTTGTTAACCTTAATTCTTTAAGATTTAGATTAAACTTTAAGGGTAAATAAATGTATATGTGTGTAGCGCAAATAACTTGTATAAAAATAAATTGGGCTGGTTGAATTTGCTTTTAAATTATTTACAATTCTTTAAGAAGTAAATCTACCTAAAGCTGATCTGGAATAAAAATGCAAATTCATTTAACATAAATATTTGTTAATAAATATACGGTGTTCAAATGTCTCAATTGGAAATAATGATGATAATAACATTATTTATTAATAATAATAATAATAATGATGACATTAATAATAATGATTACAATGATAGAGGATATAAATAACAGGATTTTATTCCTAGATTAAGATGAATGGTGGAGACTTTAAAATGATCTATTCTCAATGAATCCATAGCTCAGATATATCTGGAAGTTAAAATGACTGGAACTTTATGGGTTTTCTTCAACAGAACATGTTTTATTTGTTCTGATGAAGAAAAGGGTGGAAAGAAGATAAAACAAGAGAAAAACAGCAAAGCTAAACT